GAAACAAACCTGTCATCAAGGTATGAAAATGTGTTCGTGTGTCATAAAGATTTGATAAGCTAGGAAAGATTGTAAGAGCCATAGAATATGCACTGGTATTTCATGAAGTAGTAATGGAAGCATCAAACAATCCCCGTCATTAATTGTAAGTGTTATCTAGATATGTGGATGGTTACCAAGAGTCCAGGTTTCCACATGGCACATGCATCCATTACTTGTGTGTCTTTGTCCTCTAATAACAAAATTGGCAATAGCTTTAATAGTGGTGTTGCATGGACCCTCCAAAATGGATGATGTGTCTGTTGGATTCACGCACTCCATGAATTTCTATGGGAACATGTCTTCACACCAATTTCCTTTTCTTCCTTTATTATTTGACATGAGTAAACATCTTTAGAACTTTCCTAGGTATGAAAGATCAGCTTCATGTATTTATGTGCTTTTCTTTGACATTTATTATATGCAGGCCGGACCACAATCTTCAAGATGTGAGGGCCAAAATTTTTCCTTTTAAAAGGAGAAAAGTTAAGGCACCTGATTTGCCTTCCATTTCATTGCCAGTTAGAAGAAAGGAGAGATCACTTTCTTCCTTGGTGGTTAGCACCCCTCGGGTACCGGCACAGACTGGCATGACTGGAAGAAGAACAAAAGCTGTTGCACGAAGGGCTGCTGCATTACGAGGATCCAGTTTTTCCATTGAAGATCCTATCAAAAAGGAGGAAGAATCTCCAGAAGATCGTCCAGGGAGCTCAAGCTCAGCTGAGACTCTAAACAAGATTGCTCAAAATAAAAGACAGGTAAAGGAAGCAACATGGGCTCAGTTGTTCTCATAACTAAAAAATTGTTTAAGCTGCAATCTTTTTCTGTTGCATATTAGTTCTTTGTTTTCCTTATGTTTACAAACATTTTTCATGTTTAATTGTTGTGCTGGTATAGAGTTCATCCACTACGGAGCCATCTAACCACAGCATGACTGGTAAAGATACAGAGAATGGTGTTGAGACATGTAGTGTAAAAGCTGATCTGTGGAAGCCCTTAAACTGCCTGGTTGAAGTTGCAAATAGAACGAAGTCTTTTAAGTTCAATTCACATGGTTCCGTTGCCAAATCAGAACCAGATTCTGTCCCTGACAGTGAGGTAGCTATGCCTAAAGCCAAGGTTAGACAGCAGGTCCACAAGTCAAAAGTGCAGGACAAAAACAGTACTACACCTGCCCCTCCAGGATCAGGAAAGCCTAGAAAGTTGCATGGGATTGTCCGAAAAAGGGGATCTGCTTCAAGGGATCTAGGCATGTCGGCACAAGCTGTGCTTGATGCTGGTGGTTTGAAACGTGACAGAAGAGTTGGCCCAATTTGGTTCTCATTAGTGGCTTCTGAAGATCAGTGAGGAACCACCTCAACTTCTGAATCTAAAGGAATTGATTTTCATATTCACATATTTTGTTTCTAAACTTGTTTTCTGATAACATGAGAACTGGTTTCAGGGAAGGAGATGCTTCCTTGCCACAGATATCTGCATCTTACTTAAGGATAAAGTGAGTTTCTTTTGTTCCATTGCCTGTCCTATATAGTCAGTGTCAATTATTACTTTTCAACCTTTTCCTGTCTAAACTTTCTTTTTCTAAACCTTTTTTTTTTTCTTTGAAAAAGATAAGTATATATTAAAAAGACAAAGTCAATACAAAGATCTCATCTACACCAATGATCTGTTTGAACTTTCTTTGAAAGACATTTCTTAAGAATTGCCTTTTGTTTTGGATACTTATTCATTGTACTCTGATGCGCTTGTTCTATATAGTGAAATTTTTCCCCCTTGCTATGTTATTGCTTCAGGTTTTTGTTTTTGTTTTTTATGATTAAATGTGACTTTCCTTTTTCTCTCTCATGTAGCACCTGCAAAAAGTTAAGGATGATTGGCTTCTCCCATAACCTGAAGACATACTTCAGAAACTTCTATCAAAAGTTTGGAAGGTTAAGAAAACCAAGAAAGTTCTAAGAAGGGGTTGAGAGGTCCTTTGTCAAATTGTTAGAAAAGTTGGGTGTTGGAGCAAAGTCTTGGTTTAAGTTAATTGGAAGTCTCTTAGTTGACTGGCTTGGTTTCTTTATTGATTTGCTGGGTATGGTTTTGTTTTTGTTTTGGTCTTTTTGTGGTAAGTTTTGGGTGTATGGTTGGTCTTTCTTCCCTGTGTCGTTCTTTTTCTTTAAATAAATTTTATTTATTACAAAAAAAGCAACTATGGCATGCACCAAAGTGGATGGGGCTCCCATTTATCAAAAAAAAAAAAAACTGGATGGGGCTCAGGAGCTGCTAGAAGAGTCATGTTGCATTGCCCTTAGAAAGCCATCAAGTCTATTTACCCTTCTTTCTCAAGAAACATTGGGTATGATCCAGTTTCCAGCCATAGGCTTAAGTTTTGGGGAGATGTTTGGTCTGGGGGGGGGGGCTATTGTACTTCAGATTTCAGATTTTCTAGGGTCTATTCTATCTCTCTTTACACAAACAGAACAAATCTATATCTCTGAGCTGTTTCCTTTCTCTTCTATGGACATCTATTGTGATTTTGGTTTTAAAAGGATTAAGGGATCATGAGAGTGGAGAGGTAATCAATCTTCTTAACTCTCTGAAAGATGCATTCTTATTTCTAGAACTTGGTGAGTGTCCCCTTTTATAAGTAGCAATAATTTCTACTAAGAATAAAAAAAAAGCAATACTTAAAGTAAGACAGAAAAACATTAAACATTACAGCCATTAACCGTCAGCAATATCCAATTCCAGTTTGAATATTAATAGGATCATTTTTGAATATAGGCAGATTCAATCCGAATCTGACCCAATTACAGCCCTAATTACAAACCCTATTGTAATTCCAATGATCCCTATGGGTTTGAATATAGGCAAATTCCAATGATCCCCTTTTTCCCTCATGTCATTGATATATTGCTGATGTGTCAGTGAGATTTTGAATGTCATGGATAAGTTGTTTGAAACCGATGAGGTTCAGACCTGTTTAGCAAGGAGAAATCAGAAAAGAAGAAAGAAAAACAGAGATGAAGAGAAGAGAAGAGAAGAAGAGAGGAGGAAGAAAGAATGGAGAGAAAAGGGGTGCAGACTTATGTTTCTAGTCTGCCGCCCTAGGTGCTATTTATATTAGTCTTATAATAAAAGAGGTGCAATGACAAGAATACTCCTGCCACTAGAAACAACAGAAAAAAAAAAAAACATTCTAACAACAATATAATCAGAAGGAAACATCAAGAAATAATGAAGAGGTGGGACCACAAGTTGGTCAATCATTTTCTCTACACTCCCCCTCAAGTTAGGAAAAGATATTTATCATTCCCAACTTGCTTAAATCTATCTCAAGCTTGATTTTGTTGACTGCTTGGTGAAGACATCAGCATGCTGCATATTAGTGGCAAGATAAGGAAGACATACTTCTTGAGAGACAACTTTCTCCCGAATGAAATGTCTGTCAACTTCAATGTGCTTGGTTTTATCATGCTGTATTGGGTTGTGAGCAATGTTAATGGCCACCTGGTTATCACAATACAACACCAAGGGTCTTTCAAATTCAATTCCCAATTTTGTAAGGAGAGATTTCAGCCATAATATTTTAGCAACACCATTAGCCATAGACCTGTATTTGGCTTTAGCATTGGAGCGAGCAACAACATTTTGTTTCTTGCTCCTCCAAGAGACATGATTTCCTCCAACAAAAGCACAATACCCTGAGGTAGATCTCCTATCATCAATACAACCTACCCAATCTGCATTAGTGTATACTTCTATCTTCATATGCCCATTATTTTTAAAAAGTATACCTCGGCCTAGACACCTTTTCTAGTAGGCTAAAATCCTTTCAACAGTAAGGATGTGAGTAATTTTGGGGGAGTGCAAATTATCAAAAAAAAAAAAAATCTTGGGGGAGTGCATGTACACTGGTTAACAACACTGACAGCATAAGAAATATCAGGGCAAGTCAGACATAGGTAGAGAAGCCTTCCTACAAGCCATTGATACATACCTTTATCTTCAAGAGGCTTACCATCTTTTGCATTTATCTTATTATGATTTTGCTCAATGGGTTTATCTGCAGGCTTAGCCCCCAATTTTCTTGTTTCTTCCAAGAGATCAAGAACATACTTCCTCTGGGAAATAAAAATGCCATGCTTGGACCTTGCCACTTCAATTCCAAGGAAATACCTCAACTCCGTCAAATGACCCGGCCTCCCCTGGCTCTTCCACCGTCCGGATCCCTTTCCTCCCTATTGCTATGCTCCCCCGGTGTAGGCCTACCACGCTTCGCGCCTGTGGCATTTTCAGATCCTTTACTTCAAATTCTTGATTAAGCAATCGCTTAAAAGAATTAATTTCATCAATATCACTTCCTATCACAACAATGTCATCAACTAGTGATTTAAAAGGCACGCCTAGGCGCATAGGCAAGACGCATTTTGGGGTATGTGCCTCGCCCAGGTCCTGGGCGCACCCCTTTCAAAAGGCGTGTGCTTGATGCGCCTTGCGCCTCAGTCCAGGCGTGCACCTTTTTAAAATTTTGCACTTTTTGCTTTTTTTTTGAGTCTAACAGCTGGGCTGGGGGCTCCGCCCCTAGACTCCGACCACACCCCTCAAGGCAAGCCCGAACAAGTCTATATTAGGGTCTGAAATTCTTATTTCTCACATAAAAATAATGATTTTACATCTTTCATTGCCTTTTAAGAAGATATTTTGTTGCAATGAATGAATGGACAACATTAGCTACTTAAAGCAATGCAATTAAGGAAAAAAAAGAGATTGTGGATTTTACATGCTTGAAAATGCTTTATATGTTTGCTTTTATTTTTAAATTTTCATTTGAATACACTTTACATGTTA